GAGTCTCGCGTTGCGTTTTAAGTGAATTATTAATTACAGTGTTTCGCTTTAAAACACGAGCTCAGTCATATTCTGTGATTGTCTCTGAAGAGAGCACCACAGCAGTCTATCGTTCACCTCAAAAAGTAGGCTAAGCAGCAAAATCAGTAACGTGTAGCTGTTGACAATTTTCGGTTGTGACACAGGCATTTGTTTGTTTTTAACCCAGTGTTGTTCAGCATAGTGGGCTGCTTTGGGCTCAAGTGATGTGGGATATGTTGGGGGAGTTGTTTACTGTAAGGGTCAGAGGAAGTCCTAGAATTCATGTCACAATGTTCTTGAACTCCTGGCTGCTAGTTTCCCTCACGGCCACATTCCATTAGTCTCTCAGACACGGAAAATTACACCAACAGAAGTGCTGTTCCTTCGCTCCTTTATTTACCTGGTGAGAGGTCTCGCAGAAGCTGTCTAATTATCCATGTTACATTAAAAGGTATTTAGATTGGAATCGATTATGGTAAGACTGAGCATCACACTTGTATTCATTAAGAACAATATATTCAGTATAATTTTGTTTGACAATATAAAATTACATAATGTCAGTGATTTTAATGCAGTTCTTAATTTAGTAATTTAGTTCCCTAAAGCCTGTGGCAGCGGTTCAGACGCGCACTAGAGGCGGTTTAAACAATCACAACACACTGGACCAGCTAACCAATCTAAGCCCATCGCGTATTTCTGAGGGAGGGACTTCATAAAAGCATGAAATCATCAGCGCGTTTATAGGAGAAGAGACAGAGCGGTGTAGAATAAAGGTAAACTATGTGGAAAAACGAAATTTTTTTGTTGTTGTTTTTTTTAAACGAAGCATTAACATGTTAGACTGCACCCCATAAACACAATCAAGCCTAGAAAAAAAAAACAGACAACCACCCCTTTAAATATCAATTGCAAAAACTATAAAGCTGAAAAATTAGATACATTTCAAATGATTCAGTGTCATCACGTTCCCTGTGTAGCATTTTAAATGCTTTAAAATCTTCTAGATAATATGCATTGAAATATTGCCATGTTTATGATGTACTGGGACACATAAATAAAATGATTCTCCCTTGTTTCCATTTAATAGAAATAAAAGCGTGGAAAACATGATTGATTGCTCTCAATTTTTAACATACTTTAAGCATTTTGAATCTGCTTGGTAACTGTGTCTGTTTGGTCAAAATAACGATTCGTCTTATTGGAGGTTTGGGGGGTGAATTACTCTTAAAGCTATTTCAGAGCAAATATATAAATATCAAGATATATCGCCCATACCCAATCTTACAGTATTTCTTTTAATGAATAAGAGCGTATGCTGATATTTGTGTTATTTCAGGAAGAACAAGCAGGCAATCCTTTTAAAAACCAATGCAAAGCACATTTATCATGCTGAACATTAAAGACCTTCATTAAAGTTAATCTCCTGACATTTCAAAGCTAACAGCCCACACTTCCCTTAAAAGTCTGCATATCTCATTTTGATTTACGGTTAATAAAAGTGCATATAAGAGAGGTTTTTAATTATGGATTCTGTGCAGCGTAATCAATTTAGTACTCAGGATGTGTGCTGATTACACCATTTAGCTGCTCAAGTGAATGCAGAACACATTAGATAATGATGTTATTTGGTGGGAGCTGAATATATATATATATATATATATATATATATACACACACACACACACACACACACAGTGGTGTGAACAAGTGTTTGCCCCCTTCCTGTTTTTTTAATTGTTTGCATATTTGTCACACTTAAAAGATTCAGATCATCAAACTAATTTTAATATTACACAAAGACAATGCAAGTAAATACAAAATGCAGTTTTTAAA